CGTGCGCATATTCACATGCATGCACATAGATGATATCAGGGGTGTGGAGGAGAACAGGTGGAAAGAAGTGGACTAAATTTCACTCAGTTAGAGCCCTGAGTGAAATCTCCTTGAACCTGTTGCCATAGCTAATCGCACACATGCATACAAACCAACACAAAGTCTCTCCCTCCCCACCCCACACGTGCTCTCTCTCTCTCTGTCCTTGTCTGATTTGCATTTTGGTTAACACTCTAATTGCCTCTCATTAAATACCTTGTCACTTTGATTAATTGGTGTGATACAGAAATGTAAAACAGCAGAGCACCGTGATGCGCGGCGAGCGGTTGCTGATTGGAAAAGATGATCAAGCCTGCCTTAAAAACAAATGCAAAACAGGGTGAAATGTTGCTCGTGTAATTAAGAATAAACAAAGTAAATACATTTGAGTCAGGGTTTTTTTTGTTGTTGTTGTTGTGGCCCTGAGGTGGTAAACGTTTTAAAATCTGTGAACAAGGGTCAGTCGTTTGCTTAAACTTAAACATTTAAGTTTAACCAAAAACTTAAATGTGAAGAAAAGTGTGAAATTAAAGGATGTTGCTGCAAGAGCTTTGTTGAGTTTTATATTTGAGGCGATGGGATTTTATGCTGTAAGACCAAGTCATTAGATATTGTAATTATGACCTGGAGAAACCGGTTTCAGAAATGATTTCAGACCACTCTTAGGCCCCCTAAATTTAATTACCTTTTTTTCGGAGTCATGATGTGGAACACCTACTACATCGACTGTACTGACCCAAACCAACCTGCTGTAGGTCTGTCTGTACTGGAAGGAGAGCTGCTGCCCCAGGCTCACATCTTTTGAAACCTTCAACAGGTTTCTTCTCATAGTTCCCTAGAGTTATCTGCATCTCAGCAACTCCAACAACGTTCCCTTCACCAAGCACCATCATCGTCTAATGCTGCCACCACCGTATGTGGAGTAACAGTTTTTCTAACCTCACATGAGATGTCGTGTGCAGCCCAGAAAGTTTCATTTTCATCTCACTTGACCTGAGCACCTTCTTCCACCTGTTTTCTGAGCATCTCTGCAACTTTTTCCCATACATGTTCATCATACTGTCTGTTCCATAATATTCTCTAACAAATCTCTTAGGCCTTCATAGAACAATTTTAGCTATAACAAGGTTCAATGAATGCCAGATGGATCGTGTTCTCTAATGGAGAGACTTCTGGAGGGACTTAGTTGCTCTCTATTTAATAGAGCTATCAAAAGTAAAGGGTTCTCAGTGCAAACATATGGCACACTTTTTGGAATATTTTGAAAAGCCATGCATCATTTTCAAGCTTTCAAGGCACTTTGAGGAAACATAAAAGGGCTGGTGCCAAAATATGATAAAAGAGGTATACGTTCTATCTACCAAGAGAAAAAAAAGTAATCCCCTTTTCCAATAACTTTGCAATTTATTGTGTCATATAGTCAGGAATACAAAATTATCAAAACAGCTAAAAATGACATACTGAAAAACCTACACCAAAATGTCTCTTACCCGGCATATTACGAATATTAGATTTCATCGGAAGCATATCTCTAAACAACAATGAATAAATGAAACATTCATTTCAGCTCTCGCTTATTTTCAAGGGATTTTGCATCGCTTGTAAGACGCATGTCAATATCCCCACACTATCCTGACCGCACATCGGGCCTGATTCAATTGACCGATCGTATAACCACACGATGCGCACACCTGTCACTCGAACGTGCGAAAACATGATAATTTTTCCCATTGTTGCGCCGGATGATATCGTCCGTAAGAGACTTTTATTATTGAAATGAGACATTTATGAACAGTGAGCCCTTCTGAATCCTCACAATGCAGTCAGAGGAGGGAAAAGAAATGAGATTTGGAAGATTAAAGCCGCATGCCACCTGCGTTTCCTGCCTCCTCGCGACATCGCGCCTCCATGAATATCAAAACGGCCTTTTTGTGAGCCTGAGCAGAAGTTTGCGGAAATCAAAATCCAGGCGTAAAACGAAAGATTGTGGCGAGGGCTCCGACTGCCGCAGGGGAGGACAAGGTCAGCGCTGAATGGACGAGGGCAGCTCATTGTTTCATAGTTCATTGTAACCCTTTTCAGCATGAGACAGGAGTTATTCAGTCAAACATCGTGAATGCAAACGTATAGACGCTTCAAGTCTTTCTAGGGGACGACAGAATGCTTAAATTGTGCGTGAAAACTTTCTGTGCATTCTGCGTTTGCTTCCATTTGTTCGCAATGACACCATATCTGTCAGATTTAGCTGTGAGGTTGAGTGCTTTCGCTCTTATCTCAGTTCAGCAAACACATCCATTCACGAGTGCAAGCACACACGCACGCACGCGGCCCTTATCTTAGGGATTTTGTTATCACACGCTGTTTGCATTGAGGACTGGAAATAACATTAAAACATCTGAAGTGACAAGTTGATAGAAACCCTGTCACGTTTAAAGGCTGACATGTGCAATATGCTTTGTGTACGTTGAAAGCTTCAAGCAAAGCGGTGGTAGAACGACAGCCGTTTCAACAAATCCAGCAGTTGGCTCCTGGTTCCGCAAAGCATTTGTAGCAAGCTCATAATCAGTCACAAAGTGTCCTGTCGTCAACAGCAAACCAACTAAATTAGTTTTCAAGTGTACATATCCAAGTAGGAGACTGCTGTGTGTTTTTTTTTCTTTTTCTTTCTTTCTTTTGTCCAGCTAGAAAGCAATGTCTGAAGTCAGATAGATGCATGGGAGGTCCCAGCAGCAAGTGTTTCTCAATTCCCGTCCTCACCCCCCACACCCATCTCCCCACCCTTCATATTTTAGATGTGCTTTGTTCCAGAACACCTGTTTCAAATGATTGCGTGACCTCTTCTGCGGCCATCGAGCGCCGCAGACGCCTGTTAATCGCCCACAGATTCAAGCCAGGTGTGTGGCAGAAGGGAAAACGCTTAAAACATATGCAAGGCAGGACAGTGTGGGGGGGAGGGGGGGCTGGAGGACCGGAACCGAGAAACACTGCCGGCAGCTGCCATCTTTCAAAGCGACAGAGTAGTTATACAAGGTTGTGACTACAAATATAAAAGTTGAACTTCTTTAGAAGAATTGAAACCGGTTAATATTGTAGGCAAATGGAACTTGAAAATTACTGCTCCATTTTATAGGCCTGGTATTCGACATGATGGCTCAAGTTGATGTTTAATAATAAACTAAGGAAAACCACAGAACTGTGGCTAACCCAGAGGGGGAAAAGCGCATAAAAAGAGAAGAGAACCATTTTGGGGAAGCAGATGAACCTGAAAAATAACCAAGTAAATATGAGGGTGGGTTTTGGAACAAAGAAGATGAGAGTGTAATTAACTGAATGTGCTGGAACTGTGTGGGGTGCGTGACTGGTGGAGCTGAGGAAAAATGGCCAAATGACACAGAATCAACACAGCAGGTGAAGGGGACAGGAACAAAAGAAGAAGAAATAAATGGAGCGAGACATAGGAATCTACACTGCACACTTCAATCTGTCTTTTAGCTGAAGCTAATTTAAGTATTGAAGCTATTAGGAGTCTAAATGTGTAATGTAAGCTAAAATGTAAAATCTTTGCTTGAAAATGTAATTTTTTTGCAAAAAACAAAAAAACAAAACTTGAATATTGTTTTACATATAAATTGATGGGGCAGGGTTTTCTAATTCAGTTAAATAGCAAAATCTAAATGCCTTTCTCTTCTGGTTTTTACTTGTTGCCAATGCCAGGGTATGTATAACGTGATGATGCACAGAAACATCTGCTGCTCGAATAGACAAACCTGTTCAAAGCCATTAAGCTTTGTCATTGTCCCATCTGTCGGGTAACAATTACCTTCCAGTTAATGCCTTGATTAATATGTCCTTCTACCACTCAGTAAAACTTTCAAGTTGTTTTGAACTTTGCTTGGTTTTATTTTGAATTTATTGGATGTTTACTTTGCAACAGAAAAATCCCCCTTTGTAGGATAACAGGAATTGCCACTGTAAAAAGATAATGTTTCAACGCAAATTCATCGTTAACACTGTAAAGTTTGACCTTTCCTTCCAGCAACAAAATATCAGAAGAATAAAGACAACTTAGATGTTGTTGACAATTGTGCAGACTGTCGTGTTTGAGTAATATCGACGCTCACGATTGACACGCATGTCCGTTAAACCCTTTTCAAGCAAATTGATATTTTGCATATCCTCCGGATCAATACAAATGAGCTGTTTGAATAAATGTGCGGATCAATACGCATGTTTTCAAACGCAGTCACTGCGACGTGTCACACAAACAGCTTCTCCTCTACCCATCCCAGTGTTGCACAACTGTGTCTGATGATGTGAATTATAAATGCAACGTTCGTTAAAACTTGTGTCTCTGATGATACATGGTGTACTTGATGGTGCTTGTTTCCATTTTATTGCTCATTTGTCTCAATCAGCATCGCTATTATGCACTTAACGGGCTTAATAGTAGAATTTCAGAGTAAATAATGCATCTCGGTTAGATAGATTGGAGTAAGAATAGGCTAGACTTGCATTTGAATTAGAGACAATATGCACACTCTAGAAAAATATATTTCTGAAAAACAAAGTCAGCTGGTGAGCAGTTACAATCTCTCAGCCTACTGGGGAACACACTGTGAAGTGAAAAGATATTCCAAATTTACATTTTGCAGTTTTTATACTTTAATGGATGCTGTTTGGTGCCAGACTTTAGGGGATTGTGCAGGTACTATTAAAACAAAAAAATGCAGATGTCGATGCATGAAGGGATGCTGCTGGATGGCTCAATCAAATGATTGGTTATTTCTGGTAAAATAATATCTTAAAGGGTTAAACAAGAAACCTCTGATTAGCGAAACATCTCCAAAATGAATAGTTTGTTGTTTTTTCCAACGTGAGCCAATTCAAAGTTTTTCAGCTGCTCTCGCTCAAAGGTGAGATTTGCCTCATGAGACCTCTTCATTTTTTTTTTCTCACCCAAGGTGAACGGGCGTGACTTCTCCAAGGTTGAACATGACGAGTCAGTGGTGGAGGCCATCAGGCGAGACCCCATCGTTGTCCAGGTTCTCCGGCGAACCCCCGCCAGAGCCACCGTCGTGCAAAGGAGCTGCGGCGCAGCGCAGGACGTGTGTGTGGTCGACGTCTGCACACAAACAGACATCACATTCGAGCACATCATGGCGCTGGCCAAGCTCCGGCCCGCCACCCCGCCAGTCCCAGACATCTGTCCGTTCTTGCTCTCCGACAGGTGAGAGAAAGCACTCATTGCATTCCTTTTATAATAGCTATTAAGCAGCTCTGTCAGAGTGGAAACCCCAAGCAAAGCCAAGCACTGTGATATGATTATGCACAGGCGAACTGGCAAACAGTAATTGCTTCGGTGTGCTACATCCATTTTCCTTAATGAAGGCTTTTGCTAGGCGATTAAAATCCAATGGACTGATATAGTAGGCGGCCTGACACGGCACCCATTCTGATGCTGTTTATGGAGCTTTGCTGGACAGGAAATGAATTCATTTTGCCTCATAAAACTGAAAATCTTACAGCCTTGGTCAGTAATTACAGTGAGGCAGTCACAGGGACAATTTTCAGAGTTTGTGGCTTTAATGGGGGGAATTGTTTATGTCTTTGTCACAAAATGAGATGAAGCATAAAGACTTTGGGTATGGAAAAATGGTAAACAACTGCTAGTAAAGTCTGGTTCATGATATAAACAGGTGCCCATCTAATTTATTCCACAGAATGGGACGCGTGGATATGGGAAGACGATGTTATGTAAATTATCTTTATCGTGGTTGATTTTCTTTTCTTTAGCTGTCAATCCATACACACCTTGGAGCACGACTTTTACGAATGTCCGGAGTACATGTCCAACACTCCAGGAGAAGTGGAAAGGACAGAAGAGTACGAGTACGAGGTAGGGTTTCTCGTCATCATTTTTTACATTTTGTCGCATTGCAACCACTAACCTTAATGTATGTTATGGGAATTTGTAGGATATTTGGTGTTTTGTAGTGATGTGATTTATTTATTTACATTTTATTATTATTATTATTCCGCAACCTGCACATCATTTTATTTTGTCTATATGATATAATTTTAACAAAGTAAGATTCAAAAGTTTTGCACAAGTACTTAATTCTTTTTTTTTTTTTTTACATCTAAATAATTTTTTGGATGATTATTTTTTACTTCTACTTGGGTAGAAATATTGATTTAGTGCTACTTCTTACAACTGATTAAAATTTTTTGGCTAACCTAAAATCCTCTGGTTATAAAATTATAGCTCAAGCCGTACGGGCCACAGCAGTGCAGATAAATTATTTATTTTAGAAAATGTGTTTCTTCGAGGAGAAAGTTGACCTTTTGCACAGTGTTTAGCAGATGCATTGTGCTGCTTAGATGATGCCACCTTGAGGTTCTCCCAGGTTGAAAGTGATGGGTATTATTTGCTTTGTCTGTTTTCCTGTGTGGTGTAATTGGTCCTTCCTGGTTCAGTGCACAGTTTTCTTGGTTAATAGGATCCCTTTGCTGTTAGCTGTGGCCTTTTAGCAACCCCTCCTCCTCCTCACCCGGTTCAGGTCGGTGGTGGGATGGTGACAGAGGGGTTTTGTTTGGTAATAGCAGTGCTATCAGAACAACTTGGACCGTACAACATTCGCCCATTTAATCACACACCCTTCCCACCCCCCACCTGCCAGACGTTGGACACACCAAATCGGCTGTCCTCACTTTCCCCCAGTCCATCCATGTGTATCTAACTGAAGCAAGAATAGCTTTCCCCTTGCAGGAAACAGAACATGGCTGCCATTCCCAGGAAAAAATTGACTTCTAACTGACAGGTTTTGCTTCACTTCAAACTGATTGCCCACCTGGGTACAGCTGTCATGATACACCTGGTGGTTCTGCCAAATCTAGCACACCATAACATTACCAGGCCCCTGCCCAGTTTCAGGGTTATGAATTTGACAGATCGAGCAAGTTTCGATTTGGAATGAATTTGTTTCCAACACATTTATATACCAAGGCGCTGGTGTATTTCTTCCCTCGGAGGCAAGGAATATTTTAATAATGACAGATTTTCATCGTTTGCACCATGCAATTAGTAAAGTGGAAGCAGTGAGGTGTGCAGAAGTCAGTGTCCGTTGGGCAAATTATTAAATCTTAATTTGGTTTGTCGCAGGTGCCACGTTATAAAAATGCTGAAAACCACAAATGAGAAAAAACAAATTATTTCAGGCAAACCTATTTTTAATATATCATCTTAAGTAAGTTTGGAGAAAGGTCAAATAATACCACTTCACACACGTTCATCATGCTTGTACAGTGCAGCGAAATTACATTTGCATTCAGCCAAGTATAAAACGAAACGCTCTAGAGGCGTAAAAACTAAAAGTATAACAAATACACTCCACTGTTAAGCAAAGACAATTTGATTTGGTTTAATCCCACCTTTCGGGTAAGTTTTACTAGTCAAGCCAGGCACGATTACTCACCTGTGGACTCGACCACGGGGAATGAATACCTTTGCATGTTCTGCAAAATAAATATTCTTTCTTTCCCTCCACCCCCATCTTTTTCTTTTATGTAGATTAAAGGCTTGGTGTAGCTGCCACAACAGATTAGCAGGAGGTAAAAACAAATTTGGAACCCCGATCGGCCAAATTATCTCTCTTATGCTTAAAGCTGCTTACAGCTGAACGGTTGTCATCCTCTGAAATGAGGAAACAATAAGCCAGGGAACGTTGTGCTTGGCACTAATTACAACTGAATGAAACATGAGGTGGTGGCTAAGTGAATGCCCGATCGAAATGTTTCTCCCAGATGTTTAATGTGGCACCAAGCAACAGGATGAGACCTATTGTCAGTCCACCTTCTTAACATATCTTCTCTATAACAAAAGTATCAAAAAGCGTGATTTCCTGGAGTGTTGTGAAAATTTAAAGTTAAACTGCCGATCAGAATAAATCATAATCCTTCTGCAATTATTAAATAATCTCTTGTAGCCTTTGACGTCATCCAATTTTCGAAGAGATTACACGTTTAATCTCATTGCAGGCCAATATCAAGGCACAAATCAACCGGTTCATCATACTGGCGAGGAGTGTGCCTGGTGCGAAGCAGTGTGTTGTGCTACAAAATCATAAACTCCTTCCGCAACCCAACCTTTGAAGGTCAGGGCTGTTTGCACAGGGGGTTAAATGCCACAGAAATTAATTTCTTCCCCTGTCAATCTCCGCTATCGTTGTTTCCCCTGACAGTAGAAACACGGGACAGGGGGTTTAATTCCTGCCTGCCCTCCACCAGAACCCCCCCCCTCACCCCCATCGCTTTACTCGTCGTTCTATCCCACAACCCTTCTTTCATTTCATCACAGAGGCGAAATGGATTTGGCAGTGTGAGGTTAATAAAGATTACCCCCAGAGTTATCTTTATGTGATTACCTTAATACACAGCAGAGATCAAAAAGAACCAGCGGTGAGTAGGACTAAATTTAGGGAAATTTCCTGGAGGAGGCGAGGGTTGCAAAGACATGAAAGACCCAACCTGCATGGCTCCACCGTATTGGCTTTGAGTTTTGTATCCTTTGACTTAATTAATATCCACGTCCCAAGGTGGAGCTTGGACAGCAACAACATGCAAATTAAGGGGGCCTGTACTTCAACATGTATTTCTCTTCTTTGTTTCTATTAGTGAGCTAGAAATGTAGACGTTTCCATACAAATAACATTTTTACAAAAATGTATTAGACCACCACTAGTTTGCATCTGAGACCTGAACAGTCAAGCAAAGGGGGAAAGTTTCTTAAAAGAGAATAACTTTATAATCTCTACAAATAACAAAAAACAAAACAAAAAAAACAAAAAAAAAACAGGCCTGTAGTGAACGAGAAGCTGCCGGAACATTCTCATATCCACCCATAGCAGAATGCTGCTGTCTAACACAAACGGTTCACCCCAAAGTCAATATCGATGAAACATTTGTTTTATTTAGTCAAAGGGAATTTTAAAAAACACTCTTGACTTAATTAATAATAATAAAAAATATATATTTTTGTTGTTTTACGTCCAGAAGAACAGGGAAATTACGTTGTCGAAAATATTCAGACACCCCATATAACTCATCGAATTGCGACGGTACAGTCGTCTCCCTGTCATATTGTGCCTTAATTTAATTATGACCTCATTCATATGTATTCATTGCCATTTTGTCCCTTCATTTTAGTTTTTGATGGAAGACCATGTAATATACAGATATTACATGAAGGTATGCAGTCTGCAGAAGTCTGCAACTTTCCACTGATTCAGTTCCTACAGACCTATAAACCTTAACTGTCTTTCAGGTTAGCGGAAGAATAGAAAACGGAGACGGTCATGTTTTGGGTTTCTACGGCCACGCAGCTGCGTTACAATACCAAGTACATTGAAAAGCGTCAAATGCAGTGTTAAAGCACACCACCACTCAGCTGTAGAGCGTTTTAGACGTGTTCTTGACGGTAACAAATGATACCTGTCCTACCACACGATCCCATCCAGTTGGGTTTGGTAGTTGCCAGGATCACACCATGAGCGGACTGCATTCTGCTGAATATACAGTTTGGTGGAGGGACAAATATGACGTTGGGTTGTGTTTCAGGGACTGAGCACTTCTCCTTCAGTAAAAAGACGTTTTACAGCTTATAGAAGCCATAACAGATGTCCTTGTGCAGCCTGCTTTATCTCTGTTGTATTTTTTTACACAATAAAACAGTAAAAAATACTCTATGCGCAATACGTCTTTTACCACCTGAGTCGGGTAAAAGCTGTGTGATATATTGAGCGGTGAGAGGAGTTTTAGGCTTGGACTGAAAGTGTTCGGTTGCACAGTGCAAATTTTACAGCAGCACTGAATTGGCTACCTCAGATCCTTTACCTGCAACCTCAAACCAACAGACGGTTGAAACGTCATTAAAGTTATGTTCTCAAGCAAAACAATGACTCTGTAAAAGAACAACTAGAGCTCTTTCACACGAAGCTCCTTGCATTTTATTTATTTATTTATTTTTGCCATTTTTGCAAACCTAAAGCTAATGGATTATCTTTATGTAAGCTAGAAATATGTCATAAAAGTTTAGCTCTTTTAGTCTGCATGACTCATCCAAATTTCGCGACTGATTTTGACGCATTTCTTTTTCATTTTCACTATTCAGTCACCAACTGTCTCTGCAATGTCTTTTAAAAAATAATTAAAATATTTCTTTTGCTTGTGTTTAACAGGAAGTGGAGCTGTGTCGGGCGAACAGAGAGGATAAGCTGGGTCTGACGCTATGCTACCGGACCGACGATGAGGAGGACACCGGTATTTACGTCAGTCAGGTACTTAGTAACCACTATTACAGCTTTGTGCAACATAAAACTATTTCCTGTTTTGGTTTTATTGAAGTAGACATTTTAAAAGTCACACTCTTAAAATTCCAGAATACTCATGGACAGCTCTTATTTTTGGGACTCATTATTAGTCTCTTTGGAGCGAGAAGTCATTACGAGGATTTTACGAAATCCCAGACCCATTCCCGTATCTGTGTTCTAAAGCGGAGAGCGAGTTGAACTGAATTACGGAGGGAGGCGGAAAAGAACAATGTTTTGCAGCCAAACATCAACAGGGAATGAGACATGCATGGCCTAAAAGGAAGTCATGTTTGAAATATGATTCACTTCCTTCCTTTCTCATTTTTCACCTTTTCGCATGTTGTTATTCTTTTAATTAGCTCACAGCGGCGGCGGCTCTTGCTTCCTTTTCTCCTCAAAGTTTGAAATGACTTCTTCTGCCATTTACTGCCACTCATCTAAATACCAAACATGCAAAGCCAGACAGGAATGTATTACAGAGATTCTCCTAATTCACATGATTGTCAGCTCAGAAAAGAAAAAAAAGAAGAAGAAAAAAAAAAGATCCCCCTATTGCAACAGCGTTGATAAGACGGAATGGAAACTAATTATTGAGCTATCCAAGAGAAAACCAAATGAATGACGGAATTCTGGGGAACTTGGGCGACGGGAAATAAATTAGGAAATCATTCAGTCTGACTGCAGGTGCAGTTTCAATCCTATTATGAAGACAAAGACAGGCTGAAAGGAAAAGTAAGAGCTGCTGTGAGGATTAGCTTTCCCGCACGAGGGCACAGATGGCAGAATTACAGCAGTCGATTTGGCTTGAATCAGTTACATGCTTGCTGTG